CTATTCCAATCACATCAATTGAATCGGAAAGGGCATTCTCGGTGGCAAGACTTTTCATTACTAAAATAAGAATTAGAGTGAGTTATCGGAGTATTGACCATCTTTGCTTTTTAAAATCTTATAAAAGTTTGCAATATTTTGTATTATATTTTATTTAAAAAACGAAAATTACCTTCTAAATTAGAAGTTCATTTTTTTAATTTTTAACTCAATTCAAAACATTTTTTTTGTTGTTGTTGTATGCAGTTTCCAGCAAACTTTAATTAATTTTTTTCTATTTGTGAAAATTTCTACGTTATTTAAAGGTAATTTTTATTATAGGCCTATAGACCTAACACAGCATTATTAATATGATTTTGGAGGTTACAAAACTTTAAAATTACTTAAAAAATGGAAAATAATTATATCATTTGATTTCAAGATATTTTGTATACCTTAAAAATAATTAATTCTATCCCTGGAAACAGTTCACTTTTATCCCGGGATCCCGGGACAAGCAAAATACCGGGAAATGAGGAACCCTAGTCTGTATAATGTTCACTTTATTCACATGTTGAGTCTTACTGTCAAATTTGGTTTTAGTATTCTTATGCCATAACTTTCAAAAGTTTTTTCTATTTAAATGCTTTTGCTGAGCTTTATTTTTTAACCTGCTTCCACCAGTTTTTTTTATGGATGATGTGAATATCTTAAATACTGATTATTTTTTTGAATATTTTAGCAAGTTAACATTGCCTTTTTGCTTATAGGAGTCATTAAAATACTTTCTTTCATATAACAAAAAATCCAGCAACAAGTTGCTTAACTTTCCTGGTAACATTTAAAACTGTGTATGTGGCACCATCTGGTATCATCTTTTAAAAAACTTTTTATATTTGTAATTATTATAAAATGGCAAAAAGCTTAATTTTGAAGATAGTGATGGTTTTATAAAAAATTGTAAATGCTAATAATGAGTAAAATCATCATTAAGTCTGACCCTACTCGAGATATGACACACAACAACCTCTCTTTATATTCCCATCCCATAAATCTTTTTAACCACCAAAATTTAATAGCATCAATTCCCTAATACACAAACTTCTCTGCAAAATTTCAGAAGTTTTCAACAAGACACAGGAGTTATTCTTCTTCAAACTGGATAAACAAAATTGTGCCCTCCACACATACTAACATCCATACATACCGAAAATTCCCTGAATTTTTTTTCCCTCAATGTCTTAAGGTTTCCTGAGTCCAAAAATGTAGAAATATTGGGGGGGGGCATTTTTTGATTGATTGCCATATCTCCCTCTATTATATATAAAAGAGCCAAGAAAGTAATAAGTGGACTTTTATAATTTTGGACTTCCTCTGTCTATCATCAAAGCAGAAACTAACCAAATTCTAATTTGAATGTTCTGCTTTGTTCAGAATACTTATTCAAAATTTGAATCTAATTGTGTGCACACTTGTTTATAGGAAGGAAGGTATTTTAATAACAAAATGAACTTTCATGTTATTTATTGGACTATATTAAGGCTAATTAATAATCAGATACAAAACAATTTAGCTAGAGTTAGGCCAAGTTTTTGTTTCCTAGGTTAGAGGTAGACCAAACAAAATTATGCTTTATTAGAGTGAATAAAATTTTAAATATTCTGAATCTAAATGTTTCTGAGACCTTATGGTTCATATTCTGGGACTTAATTAGTTTTAAAAGAACAACATTAAGCATTAACATCATTAAAATATTAGATTATTAGTATTTCATGTTGTTTTGGAAGAAGTTAAGCTTGTGAAAATGAGTAAGATATGTTCAAAATTATGAACTAAAGATATAGATTTATTTAAATTCTAAATATTTAAATGTTTATTTTAATACAATATAGTTTTATTTTAATTTGAGTTTGTTTACAGTTTTGGAAATTTTTTTATTAAAATATTATGCCAATTAAAATTTTTATTATTAAAATGACTTTCTTATATAAATTTTTAAATGTTTTTTTTATAGGTCAAGTTAAAAAATGTGCACTTTTGAAGATAGTGCATGAAAGATTCAAAAATACAAAGAAATCGGATCAAGTTATATCAGAATTTATTGCAGAATTCAATGAAGCAATTGAACATAATAAAGAATTAGAAAATTTTATAAATAAAGGAACTCAAGTAATTATTTTCATTAACTTTAAACAATTTAAAATAATTGTTTTGATATAAAATATTTAGAAGATGGTCTATTTTTTAAAATTATGTTTTCTATTCTTTTTAGGAAATGCTAAATCCAATAGTAGTATTAAAACTGTTTCAAAGGATAACAGATCAGGTAGGTATTCATTTTAAAAATATTTGTATATATTTTTAATTTTTATATTTATATACAGTGAAACCTTGAGTTATTGTTCTGAGATGTATCACTTTCCTGAAAACATTATTGAATTTCTAGAGTTCCTAGACAAATCCTACTTAAACTTTGAAAATTAAACTCACATTATTTGTTCTTTGATTTATTGTTTTCCCACATCTGTCAGTAAGAATTATTAGTCTTGAAGAATGTTAATTCTAGGCTAATCACTTTTAAGAATAGTACTACACATACAAATATTAGTACACATTAATAGTAATAAAAGCAGTTGTTATTTTTGGAACTTGGTATAGCAAATAGCAGTTTGGACTCTTTACGGTTAGCTGTGTGGTCTTGTAAACATCCTTCCTGTCAGATAATGAGCTAGAGAGGAAGGAATGTATTGATGATGATGGTGAAGCTAAGTCTGAATCAGTTCCATGAGAGCATTTACTGTATGCCATGATATCATTGAAACAGATCAACGTCATAAATATTGAAAGTTTATTCTTCAGTTTGGAAAGAAAAAGTGCTACTAAACAAGTGAAGATCGATGACTCTTTTAAGTAGTAGTAATCCAGATTGGACTTGATAGTGAAGAAATTACCATTGGTGTATATCTTTTGATTTAATAAATACATTTAGACAAGTATAACATTTTTTTAAATTTTATACATGATATGGGGAAATAAGTGATGCCTAGCATCTATTGTTTTCCCATATTCATAGTTTTTTCATGTCTCCTGACAAAATCAATGAATCAAGCTTTTACTGTAATTAGAATTCTGTACAATAAAGTTGTTTAGCAATTATATTATAATAATTAGTAAATTAGATAGATATAAAGGAGTGAATCAAAGCAAATACTCTTAAGAATGTGTTTTTTCTTAAGTATTAAAATAAATTCATTTTTGAAATTTATATAATATTATATTTCAGATGAATTTTTAAGATTTAAAGTCAAAAATTCATATATTTGACATTAACCTATTCGATGTTGAAATATTTATTTGTTGCCTGTGACGCCATGTTGAATTTTCGTTGATGTTAAGCCTAAATTTTTTTTTTTTGAAATAATAATCGTGTTTACTGTATCGTAAAAAATTATTTTTTTATGTTTCACAAACAAAATATGTATATTAAATAATATAAAAACGAAAAAAATTTTATTTTGAAAGTTTGTTTTAATATAAAAATTGCGATGTGAAGCAACATCTAGTATCAAAAACATTCCAATGTAAACACGGAAATATTTGGGATCACCCACGCAGGTCACTGTGGTCAACACGAACATTTTCGGGATCAATGTAGGATAGGTTAAATTCTATTTTACTTTTATGTTTGCTATTTTTTTCCTTTAAAACAAATAACATCAGTGTTTTCTTTTTACTCCATTAGAAAATAAAAGCATCTTAATTTAATCCAAAGATGCATTTTAATATATATAAACGACAGCATTAGTTAGACATTAAACATTTTCAAAACAATTAATAGTTTAAATTAATGTTGAAATAAAAACACTGTAGAATTTAAAGTTACATATTTTTTAATTGAGTATTAGTACTGAAAATACAAGATTGAGAATATTTAAATACAGTAATACCTTGATTTATGCTACCCCGACTTACGTGAACCCAGAGTTACGCGATTTTCAAATCTCGTCGATTCATCTTTTGTTTGAGCACCACGCAACTCTTGATTACTCACTTTCCTACACTATTGTTCAGCTTACATGTTTGGACGTGTCGCGCGGAATTTATTTTGTGTTATTTATTTCTGAGTTTGTTATATCTACGGAGACTTGAGAGACTCTATGTGGCAATTTCTTGTAACCGTGAACGAATTAAAAGATGAGATAAGATTAACGAGAACATTTATTAGCTTACATACATCCGACTTGGATTTTACACAAATTACAAAATTATACCCCGATTTACACGAATTCGACTTACGCGGTTATCGCTCGGTCCCACCTAGCGCATAAGTTCGGGGTATTACTTTAATTAAAGCTCTTATTATTTCATAAAAAATACAAACCTCTGAACCTTACAAATAAAATTCCAGCATAGTTTAATACAGATAAAAACACAAATGCTTTTTATCTACATAGATCTTCTTCAGGTTAATATGTTTCAAAATCTTGACTAGTGGATTGATGGTATTAAATTTTGGTGATGTATGTAAAAAAATCACCTTAATTCAAATTGGTTGATTTTTCTCACAGCTAAAAGCTAGATGATTGGAATGTAATTCTTTTCTGTCTATGTACTTATGCAAACATTACAAAAAACTTTTAATATACTTGTGAATCTATATGAATAGGTGTTACAATGTAAATTTTTACTCCAACTGTGCAAGCAAACAAATTTGTAGTTGCCATCACCTTTGCAGCCTGTGTATAAATGCTGAAAATACAATAACTTAAACTGGGTATAATAAGTATAAATTTTTATAATTTGTATTAATACAGAAAACATTGAATGTGTTAGAGTTTCAAACTGTGTTTTTTTCTCTTTCTGAAACATCACTGAAGAGGGGCTATAAGGTCACAATAGCTTGAAATGCATATGATGTATAATCTGTTTAAAAATATGCTACAATAAAGTCTTAAATCATCTAGCTTGGTGTGGCTGTTAGAAAAATCAACCAATTCAGATTAAAGTGATTTTTTTATATACATCAGTATTACACAGCACCCATACTATGTTGATATATTTTGGTGGTTAAATGTCAAGGGGTAGGGAGATGATGGTGGTCATGTTTATCTCCAGTAGGATTGGACTTAATGATGTTCATTATTAGCATTTACAATTTTATATAAAACTCGTTTCTACCATGAAAATTATAGTTAAAAATATAAAAAGATTTTTTAATAAAACATGACAACATTTAAATAAAACATGCACCACCAAAATTTTAAACATTGCTGGTTTATTAAAACTTAGTTCTTATAAACCAAATTTCTTGTTTTTATGTACTAAATTTGTAAAACTTATAATTTAATATAAAATAGAATCAAGATACACTTTATTTGTAAAACAATATTGTAGCAATAGTATAATTGAAAAATCAATTAGCAAAATCAATCATAGTAAAAAATTAATTAATTCTTACATAGAAATTGCTTAACTTTATATTTAAACTTTAAAAATTTCATATACAAAAGCTTGAATTGATCATTTAGAATTATAATTTCAATGTATTTGAATTTAATGAATTTCTATTATAAATTTTATATTTCTATAATTCATTTTATTATCTTAAAATTTCATTAAAATTATAATTAATTGTAAATATTTACAAATTTAAATAATGTTGTTTCTTTTAATCTGTTTATAAATTTAATTTTTATTTAAATAATCGAAATTAATTAAAGTGAGTTTTCATTTAATTTCAAATAAGGATATCCCTTTATTGTTAATGAATCCTGAAAGTGGCCGGCCAGAAGATTTAATTTTAACAAGGATCTCTGTTCCTCCTTTATGTATTAGACCGTCTGTAACTTCAGATCTGAAATCTGGCACGTAAGTAAAATTATTATTTTTTACTACAGTTTTCTGTGACTAACTAGTGGTCTATATGTGATGTTATTAATAATACTGTAGTATATAAAAATTAAGTTACATATAAAATATTTTCATATATTTTTAGGAATGAAGATGATTTAACAATGAAATTGACAGAAATTATTTTTTTAAATGATGTTATTCAAAAACATAGAACTTCTGGAGCAAAAGTGCAANGCCCTCCACACATACTAACATCCATACATACCGAAAATTCCCTGAATTTTTTTTCCCTCAATGTCTTAAGGTTTCCTGAGTCCAAAAATGTAGAAATATTGGGGGGGGGCATTTTTTGATTGATTGCCATATCTCCCTCTATTATATATAAAAGAGCCAAGAAAGTAATAAGTGGACTTTTATAATTTTGGACTTCCTCTGTCTATCATCAAAGCAGAAACTAACCAAATTCTAATTTGAATGTTCTGCTTTGTTCAGAATACTTATTCAAAATTTGAATCTAATTGTGTGCACACTTGTTTATAGGAAGGAAGGTATTTTAATAACAAAATGAACTTTCATGTTATTTATTGGACTATATTAAGGCTAATTAATAATCAGATACAAAACAATTTAGCTAGAGTTAGGCCAAGTTTTTGTTTCCTAGGTTAGAGGTAGACCAAACAAAATTATGCTTTATTAGAGTGAATAAAATTTTAAATATTCTGAATCTAAATGTTTCTGAGACCTTATGGTTCATATTCTGGGACTTAATTAGTTTTAAAAGAACAACATTAAGCATTAACATCATTAAAATATTAGATTATTAGTATTTCATGTTGTTTTGGAAGAAGTTAAGCTTGTGAAAATGAGTAAGATATGTTCAAAATTATGAACTAAAGATATAGATTTATTTAAATTCTAAATATTTAAATGTTTATTTTAATACAATATAGTTTTATTTTAATTTGAGTTTGTTTACAGTTTTGGAAATTTTTTTATTAAAATATTATGCCAATTAAAATTTTTATTATTAAAATGACTTTCTTATATAAATTTTTAAATGTTTTTTTTATAGGTCAAGTTAAAAAATGTGCACTTTTGAAGATAGTGCATGAAAGATTCAAAAATACAAAGAAATCGGATCAAGTTATATCAGAATTTATTGCAGAATTCAATGAAGCAATTGAACATAATAAAGAATTAGAAAATTTTATAAATAAAGGAACTCAAGTAATTATTTTCATTAACTTTAAACAATTTAAAATAATTGTTTTGATATAAAATATTTAGAAGATGGTCTATTTTTTAAAATTATGTTTTCTATTCTTTTTAGGAAATGCTAAATCCAATAGTAGTATTAAAACTGTTTCAAAGGATAACAGATCAGGTAGGTATTCATTTTAAAAATATTTGTATATATTTTTAATTTTTATATTTATATACAGTGAAACCTTGAGTTATTGTTCTGAGATGTATCACTTTCCTGAAAACATTATTGAATTTCTAGAGTTCCTAGACAAATCCTACTTAAACTTTGAAAATTAAACTCACATTATTTGTTCTTTGATTTATTGTTTTCCCACATCTGTCAGTAAGAATTATTAGTCTTGAAGAATGTTAATTCTAGGCTAATCACTTTTAAGAATAGTACTACACATACAAATATTAGTACACATTAATAGTAATAAAAGCAGTTGTTATTTTTGGAACTTGGTATAGCAAATAGCAGTTTGGACTCTTTACGGTTAGCTGTGTGGTCTTGTAAACATCCTTCCTGTCAGATAATGAGCTAGAGAGGAAGGAATGTATTGATGATGATGGTGAAGCTAAGTCTGAATCAGTTCCATGAGAGCATTTACTGTATGCCATGATATCATTGAAACAGATCAACGTCATAAATATTGAAAGTTTATTCTTCAGTTTGGAAAGAAAAAGTGCTACTAAACAAGTGAAGATCGATGACTCTTTTAAGTAGTAGTAATCCAGATTGGACTTGATAGTGAAGAAATTACCATTGGTGTATATCTTTTGATTTAATAAATACATTTAGACAAGTATAACATTTTTTTAAATTTTATACATGATATGGGGAAATAAGTGATGCCTAGCATCTATTGTTTTCCCATATTCATAGTTTTTTCATGTCTCCTGACAAAATCAATGAATCAAGCTTTTACTGTAATTAGAATTCTGTACAATAAAGTTGTTTAGCAATTATATTATAATAATTAGTAAATTAGATAGATATAAAGGAGTGAATCAAAGCAAATACTCTTAAGAATGTGTTTTTTCTTAAGTATTAAAATAAATTCATTTTTGAAATTTATATAATATTATATTTCAGATGAATTTTTAAGATTTAAAGTCAAAAATTCATATATTTGACATTAACCTATTCGATGTTGAAATATTTATTTGTTGCCTGTGACGCCATGTTGAATTTTCGTTGATGTTAAGCCTAAATTTTTTTTTTTTGAAATAATAATCGTGTTTACTGTATCGTAAAAAATTATTTTTTTATGTTTCACAAACAAAATATGTATATTAAATAATATAAAAACGAAAAAAATTTTATTTTAAAAGTTTGTTTTAATATAAAAATTGCGATGTGAAGCAACATCTAGTATCAAAAACGTTCCAATGTAAACATGGAAATATTTGGGATCACCCACGCAGGTCACTGTGGTCAACACGAACATTTTCGGGATCAATGTAGGATAGGTTAAATTCTATTTTACTTTTATGTTTGCTATTTTTTTCCTTTAAAACAAATAACATCAGTGTTTTCTTTTTACTCCATTAGAAAATAAAAGCATCTTAATTTAATCCAAAGATGCATTTTAATATATATAAACGACAGCATTAGTTAGACATTAAACATTTTCAAAACAATTAATAGTTTAAATTAATGTTGAAATAAAAACACTGTAGAATTTAAAGTTACATATTTTTTAATTGAGTATTAGTACTGAAAATACAAGATTGAGAATATTTAAATACAGTAATACCTTGATTTATGCTACCCCGACTTACGTGAACCCAGAGTTACGCGATTTTCAAATCTCGTCGATTCATCTTTTGTTTGAGCACCACGCAACTCTTGATTACTCACTTTCCTACACTATTGTTCAGCTTACATGTTTGGATGTGTCGCGCGGAATCGACACATAGCTACAATTTATTTTGTGTTATTTATTTCTGAGTTTGTTATATCTACGGAGACTTGAGAGACTCTATGTGGCAATTTCTTGTAACCGTGAACGAATTAAAAGATGAGATAAGATTAACGAGAACATTTATTAGCTTACATACATCCGACTTGGATTTTACACAAATTACAAAATTATACCCCGATTTACACGAATTCGACTTACGCGGTTATCGCTCGGTCCCACCTATCGCATAAGTTCGGGGTATTACTTTAATTAAAGCTCTTATTATTTCATAAAAAATACAAACCTCTGAACCTTACAAATAAAATTCCAGCATAGTTTAATACAGATAAAAACACAAATGCTTTTTATCTACATAGATCTTCTTCAGGTTAATATGTTTCAAAATCTTGACTAGTGGATTGATGGTATTAAATTTTGGTGATGTATGTAAAAAAATCACCTTAATTCAAATTGGTTGATTTTTCTCACAGCTAAAAGCTAGATGATTGGAATGTAATTCTTTTCTGTCTATGTACTTATGCAAACATTACAAAAAACTTTTAATATACTTGTGAATCTATATGAATAGGTGTTACAATGTAAATTTTTACTCCAACTGTGCAAGCAAACAAATTTGTAGTTGCCATCACCTTTGCAGCCTGTGTATAAATGCTGAAAATACAATAACTTAAACTGGGTATAATAAGTATAAATTTTTATAATTTGTATTAATACAGAAAACATTGAATGTGTTACAGAGTTTCAAACTGTGTTTTTTTCTCTTTCTGAAACATCACTGAAGAGGGGCTATAAGGTCACAATAGCTTGAAATGCATATGATGTATAATCTGTTTAAAAATATGCTACAATAAAGTCTTAAATCATCTAGCTTGGTGTGGCTGTTAGAAAAATCAACCAATTCAGATTAAAGTGATTTTTTTATATACATCAGTATTACACAGCACCCATACTATGTTGATATATTTTGGTGGTTAAATGTCAAGGGGTAGGGAGATGATGGTGGTCATGTTTATCTCCAGTAGGATTGGACTTAATGATGTTCATTATTAGCATTTACAATTTTATATAAAACTCGTTTCTACCATGAAAATTATAGTTAAAAATATAAAAAGATTTTTTAATAAAACATGACAACATTTAAATAAAACATGCACCACCAAAATTTTAAACATTGCTGGTTTATTAAAACTTAGTTCTTATAAACCAAATTTCTTGTTTTTATGTACTAAATTTGTAAAATTTATAATTTAATATAAAATAGAATCAAGATACACTTTATTTGTAAAACAATATTGTAGCAATAGTATAATTGAAAAATCAATTAGCAAAATCAATCATAGTAAAAAATTAATTAATTCTTACATAGAAATTGCTTAACTTTATATTTAAACTTTCAAAATTTCATATACAAAAGCTTGAATTGATCATTTAGAATTATAATTTCAATGTATTTGAATTTAATGAATTTCTATTATAAATTTTATATTTCTATAATTCATTTTATTATCTTAAAATTTCATTAAAATTATAATTAATTGTAAATATTTACAAATTTAAATAATGTTGTTTCTTTTAATCTGTTTATAAATTTAATTTTTATTTAAATAATTGAAATTAATTAAAGTGAGTTTTCATTTAATTTCAAATAAGGATATCCCTTTATTGTTAATGAATCCTGAAAGTGGCCGGCCAGAAGATTTAATTTTAACAAGGATCTCTGTTCCTCCTTTATGTATTAGACCGTCTGTAACTTCAGATCTGAAATCTGGCACGTAAGTAAAATTATTATTTTTTACTACAGTTTTCTGTGACTAACTAGTGGTCTATATGTGATGTTATTAATAATACTGTAGTATATAAAAATTAAGTTACATATAAAATATTTTCATATATTTTTAGGAATGAAGATGATTTAACAATGAAATTGACAGAAATTATTTTTTTAAATGATGTTATTCAAAAACATAGAACTTCTGGAGCAAAAGTGCAAATGATTATGGTAAATATGCTTTATTTAATAAAGTGAAAATAAAAAAAAAACATATAATTGTTTAATTTGATTGCTTTTTATATATTTTTTTATGTTTTTATATTTTTATAAAATATTTTAATAAGTATTAAGATATATTTTTAATCTTAATTATTTAAATAATCCAGGCTTTCCTCATACAGGCTGTCAGTAAGAATTATGCTGGTGATGCATTTTTTAGAAGAGGCAACATAAACAAAATCAGCAAAAAATAAATTTATTGTATTATAGAATGAATAGGGAAATATGTTTAGTACCAAAATTTTTACCAAAATAATAAAAATTAATAATAAATGAATAGTATATTTGTTATAATACATCTTTACAACACACTTTGATTTGTTATCATTCATATCCTTCTCTGTTTGAGCATCTAAATGTTCTGTACTTCTTTTCTAATATTCTTCATATTTTGGGAAAAAGTATTTTTGAGATTTTTTGGGAAAAATTTGAAAAGTGTTATTGTCAATTGTCTTAAAATGAGGGCAGCCTTTATTTTTGAATTTGAAATTATGATTGTGAAAAATTACTTCAAAGTTCAAGTTAAGTATTTATGCAATATTTAATTTGAATAATTTGACTTTAAATCATAATTTTGAATGCTAAAGTATCAGTTAGATGATTAAGTTGAAAAATTTTATTTAAAATGCTTTAATGAAGTAGGAAGATATAAAAAGAACTCTGTCACTTTCAAATAATAATCACTTATCATCAGAAATTGCTTATTCATAATAGAACATAGTTATTTAACCTATCCCATGTTGAAATTTTTTTTCACCATGGGATAGGTTAAATTCTGTTGTATGTTGCACCATGTTGAATTTTTGTCGATGTTAAGCCTAATGAAAATTCCATGTTAGAAAAAAATAATCATGCTGTTGTATTGTCCAAAATTATTTTTTTTTATTTTGCACAAACAAAATAAACATATTAACAAATGTAAAAACAAAAAAACATTATATTTTGGAAGTTAGTTTTAATATAAAAATTATGCTGACTAATGACATCTACTGTCAAAAACGTCTCCAAGCAGAAACAAGATAACTCAGGTTCACAGGTCAAGGTTATCATGTTTTGACCCAAGGTATTTCAGGAATACCAGGGAATAGGTTAAGAGCAGAATATATTGAAATCTGTTGCTCTGGTTACACAAAAAGTATATCTATCATGGAAAAATTAGATGAAAATAACATATGATTAATGTAAGATATAAGTTTAAAAATTTTAATTCTCCATTTGGAATTACAATTTTGATATCTATGTACAATTTGTTTATGAGAAATATTTCTTTATTCTAATCATAATAATAAATTTAAATTTGTTCCGTTCATAAATAATTATGTTTTATTATATATATGCAATTCCTAATGATAATTATTTAATGCCAAACAATTCTCTAGATTTGTTGTGCTATATTGAAGTTAGTTAATCTTATTAAAGCCCAACAAATCCAGCAGATTGTTTGACATTAATTAATAATCAGGTTATTGGTTTGTTTTATAAATAATTATTTAGTACTGAAAAGCACTCCAGCCTTTTTTGTATCATATCTATTTCATTAAAGCATTTTTTTTATTATAATTTCATTGTTTTTGTAGTGTTAATCTTATTATACATTTTAAGTATTATATGTATTTAAAAAAATCTGTAATGAAGAAGCAAAATATACAGATGCAACGTTTACTGTTACAGTTTTGATATTTTCTGGCAATGTTTTCAAAGATAAAAAACATTTAAGGGAACTATATTGCTTGATGTATGAAATATCCTTGTTAGTAAATAATTTAGATATAAAATTTTTAATTTAATTTTTTAACATATTCTACCACCTATGACTGTCTTGGAGCATAAAGTCTGGAGCCAAATCCTTAAAAAATCAAGATTTGAAGTCAAGGATAGCTGTGAGATATGAACTCATAGACTGAGATGTTACCACTATGCCACTCACTCTTACAAGCATCTTTGCACAAAAACATATAAATTCAATATAACTTAAAATTTGTTTATTTTTTCTCAAAACTGTTTGAAAATTTCTGATTATTATATATAACTTTAATTTCAGATAAATTTTTATTGTAAATATTAAATATTTAAATGTTGCATAGTCATTTCATTTTCTTCTCTTGTTAATTTCTTTTTGAGTATCAGATCTTTAATTTAAAAAGTTTTATAAATAAAATGTTACTAAATTCTTAACTTACTAATTAAAACATTTATTTTTATGTAGGAAGCATGGGATTTTCTTCAGTTACAATGTGCTTTATATATAAATAGTGAAACTTCTGGAATACCTTTAAATATGCAGGTAATTTAAATGTAAATCATCATCATATGCACAATAACTTATTGTTAGTATTTTTTTGTCAAAATTAATTTAATTTAATAGTGAAATTGAAATATGAATTATAAATTATCCAGTCTATATGAAATAATTTAAAATTCTTTGTAGAAATGCCTTTGATTGCAGTTGGATAGTTAATACAAAAATCATGTATAAATCAGTTTTTAGAATATTAATATTATTAATAAATGTCAAGTATTAAGGAACATTAATATGTTTTAAATTTCTTAATTTTTTACTTCAAAAATATAATTTGAAAAACAATTGTTTATTTATAAAATAAATTATATATATTTTTAGAAATAGAAAGATATAAAATGTTATTTTCTGTATATATTGTATTTTAGAAGTTTTTATCAAATATTAAAAAATATGTACTTTGTAAATATTTGTTTTAATTATTAGCCAAAGAAACCTACTAGAGGCTTTGTTCAAAGATTAAAAGGCAAGCATGGAAGATTTAGAGGAAATTTATCAGGGAAGCGAGTAGATTTTTCAGGTAGAACAGTTATTTCACCTGACCCAAATCTACGAATTGATCAAGTAAGTTAATTTCCATATTAAAAAGTTACACTTATAGAAAAATGAAATTTAAATGTAGTTATGAATTTTAATAAATAGTTTAGTTTTATATTATGATATTTAATTGTTTTAAAATACAATAATTAATTTCATGCAGAATTTTTTAATAACAACAAACATTTTAATATTTATTTTTTGAATGTTAAATGATTTTAAAATGTAGAAATATTTTATTCTAGCAATATTTTATAATGTTTTTAATTAATTATTATGTAATTTAATTCAATTCTTTATTAATCAAATGAGAGTTAGATTAACTATTAGGCTAGAACTTGGCTAATTAATTACTTAGATATTATGTAGTTTGGAATAAAGGTAGCAATTAAGTTTTCATCATATATTAAATTTACTAGCAGAAGTAAGTAAATTAATTTAGAATATTTGTAAAGGAAAGATTGATCTGGAACAGGACCCAAACCTGCAACTTCTTACCATACAGACACATTGCCAATCATTTTACCAGAATGTTCTAATTATTAAATTTAATACAAGATGGTAGCTTAACTGTTTGCCTTTAGTCCAAATTATGTAGCATTTGTGTATTTAATGTAGCTTGATTATTTTATGTTGCTTATTCTATCCCTATGAATAGAATTAAAGGTTTTATTGGATTTAATTTTAAGCATGCTTGAGTATCTTAAAGTTTCTATTTATTTATTTAATTAATACAAGGTAAAATTGCCCTTTATTATGAGCAACTAACAGAATAACAAAGTTTAAGAATATAAGAACAATAAATTAACATACTAAGTATACACTAAATATAACAGCAACAGTACTTAAACCTAATCAAGGCAATTAAACATAAATTGCTATTAATGAAAAAGCAGTAGAAATAATAATAAAGTTAGCATTGACCACTTATTAAAAATTTTTAAACAAAAATCTTTGTAGATATAGATGATTTGGGATATTTTTACATAAATTATTATTTTAATTTTTAGTAACTTGTTTCTTTATGTATCTTTCTTTTAAGAAGATTTTCTATTCTGTAGTATAACATATTTTTAGTTATCACAATACTTAATTTTAATAGCAATAACAAGTTAATACTACATGTAGAATTTAGTGACACACAAAAACTTAGTTGGACATCAGTAACTTATTGCATTGCCAAACTGCTCACATTTCTATTCACAAATTTTTTTTGTTTGATCACCTAGTATAATGCTGTCCTGATTTATAAAGTATTGTTTTGCACAATTTTGAAATAACGTGTCTTTAAAATATCTGTATAAATAATAGCATTTTGTTGCATTGTTCCTATTATCTTTATTTTCCTGTATATATTTTCTGACTTATTTGATCCTGGAACTAGTCTCATATAAATAGCCCTGTCTTTTCTCAACTCCATGTCATTAAACTATCATTTTATTGCATCAATCATTGAAAAATTATGATATGATGTAACTAATCTTGAATGAATTTAAATTTATTGTGTTTGTTTTTCATTTCCCTAAAAACTGATGTAATCAGGTTCTATTGTAAGTAAATCTTGTTAATTTAATTTTTGCACATATAATATATTAAACATTTATGCAAAGTTGTAAAGTACTATATTATTTTTCCGATTTTCCAACGATTATCGACACTACTGTGTGCCAGAAATAGCCGTTCCCTAACGGGTACTTTACGCGGATTCGCGTTAGTGTGCCAGGCCTGGACTTTAAGCGTGCACCGAATTAAATAATGACAAAGTTTGTCAATAACAAAATCAAATATTTAATTAAACTTCTATATACAGTATTTAGTAAAAATCAAACAATAATTTATTCAATGAAATTCAACAAGAATCAATCCGACAACTCAAATCAATCTATTTCTAACTTAATTCTATTCCCCTTTGGAATTCGACAAAATCAAAGAATTAACTTATAAACAATAATTCTTATAAATTAAAGATCCTAATCGTCACCTCAATATACTAGGAACCTATTTCCTCAAACTCTCAAGACTTTCTATAACCGTCGATCCACAAATCGAATAACTTCAAAATCCTATCGGACACCTCTCTCTCGTTCACTGCTATAAGCTCGTTGCTATCAGGAATTCACCTCGTTCGTTTTCACTTGAGTTAGAGGCTTTATAGTGTGAGGTGACGTCACAATTCTGAATGAGCTCACTCTCCTCATTTACATACTTATCTGTAACATTAAATTTTTCTCGTTTATCTGGCAGATTATTTTCCGACAATACTTCGCTAACCTTTTACATTATTCTTTTTAACAATTATCGGGATGCTTTATTATTTTAAGGTTTAGCGATTCCTAACTGGGTTGTGGGGTCTTCCCCCCCCTTTTTTCTCGGTGCGGACTTACTTTTTCCGCTTGGGAAGCGCAAGTGTGCGCGAGTTTTTCTACGGCGCTTTTCTTTCGTCGGTGAGTTGGTTTTTCTTCTATTTTTAAGTTACTAAGGTGAATGGTGAGGAAACCTTCGTCTTAACTAAACATAAGCCCCAAACAAAATATAATGAAAGCAAAATAAAAGTAAAATAAAAATAAAGCTCAGACTTGGTTCCTTACAAAGTAAAAATATATATATATATAAAATTGACTACTAATTAGGAAATTAAAATAGTGAAATCACATTGTCAGGTATAATATATTAGTATATGTATATATACAGTAGTATATAAATACATATAATATATGTATTTTATATACTACTGTATATATAGATAGCTAACTTCTAACTATAATTTTTATAAATATTTTTTTCTTCTACAACATATGCAAGTTTTTCATTATATATTTCATTTAATTTTTATTTCAATTTTTATATTAATTTATAAAAAACCTAGTAGCCCATGATGCCTCCTAGTGGGCATTCTAGCAGCAGTGATATCATTCTGTGGTATAAATAATAAATTCATATCAATAATAAATTCCTATTACAAATAACAATAATAATATACTGAATTATATTGTTAATTTAAATAATAGCTGAAAATCATTGCTAGAGCACCCCTAGTGGCCCTTCTAGGCATTTCGTTACAGATTACAGATATACAAACAGTGCATCAATGGCTTATATATATAGATTCTTAATTTTAATGTTTGAAAGATTTTTATCCATTCATAAAATGTATTCTACCCAAATTTTAATATATTTCTTTGGAATAATTAGTTTTAATTTACATATAAAACTTTGATTATGAACTCACTCTAAGAATATAATCTATGTTGAATTCTATGTTAATTAAATTTCAGTTATGTTCATTTATATAATAAATTAAAGCAAATAAAGTAAATTTTGAAAATAATGTAGTATTGGTCTGATTTCAATAATCTGTTGATTTGGATCATGTTTTATATTGCTTTGTTTGAATATTGATTTTTTAATCACATTCAGTAATTATAACTTGATAAATTTTATAACAGTGAAATTTAAAACAATGTAAAGGTAACATGATTTTTTCAGATTTATCTGTTTTTTACCATATGTGCTTTTCAGATTATTTGAGATTTAATAATCAAAATATGATTAATTTATTATTTTTTAAAAGTTATCAATAAAAAGTTAATTTTAAAAATTAGTCAAATTTCAATAAAAATTAAATTTATTTATTTTTTTATGACAGGTTGGAGTTCCTGAACATGTTGCAAAAATATTGACTTATCCAGAGAGAGTAAGTGATTCTTTATAAAGAACAATGTAAGATGGCTTGCTTTAAATATTACATTATAAACTGCTGAGTTGTGTAGAGTCTATTGTAATGACTGTAAAAATAATTTGTGAGAAAAGGATCAATAATAGAGAATAGCTTTTTGATTAATAAGAAAATTCTGTGTATACAGGATATTAGCTTAATATTGTTATAACACTTTTTACGTCATAAATAAAAAATTAAAAAAAATTGAAAATGATGGTTTGGGATTGGAGGAATTATCATGAAATTTTTGAATAAGTAGATGAAGCCCATGGGTGAATAAGTGGAGTGTAGTTTCTAGTTAATTGTATAACTGTATGTACTCTTTAATTATAGTGAATGAGTGTTCTTCACCCCACTCATCCAATATAATTAAAGAGTAACTTATAACTGTATATACAATTATATGACAATTATAAGTTGTGTAAGCTTGCAATATTATTTATTATTATTATAGATAATGATGATATGTATCTAAATTCACCATTTTGTTTGAATCAATTCTTTTATTTTAAATGAAATTTTTCAAACCTTAATAACATTTCTGTGGTAGATAAAATAATTGTCTTTAAGCATAATATTAATTATTAAAAAAAAATCTAAGATTCAATTGCACACATGGAAGAAGCTATATTATAACAATTACTCAAAGCTTAATAAAATAGAATTTAAAATTTTTAATTTATTTTATTTCATTGTTTTATTTTTTTTATGATGATTTGAGAATGGCATAAAATGTCAAAACATTAGTATTTTAAATATATTTTAATTAGTATTTAGTGATGTCTATATAAGAGTAATAAAAAGTTATAAGCTTATTTAAGAACAGATTCATAAATTTTAGGCTCTATCATAGGGAATGGGCAGAAAAATTTAGTCTGGGCTTTACATTTACAGAAATTTTCAAAAATATTTATATTTTTTTGTTGCATGTTTTGGTTGTTAAAGGAAAAAATTTAAGGGAAATATTTCCAAAATGTTGTTATTAAAAATATAATCTGAATTTTTAATGCTGTTCTGTTTTTTAATATAAGGGAAACTTCAAAAAGATAAGTAGATTTATCTTTTCCTGACCTCTGACGCCACAATAAAATCAATGGATTTAATAATCATTGTTATGACAGATTCTTTATTTATAGATAATATTACATGATCCAGGAAATTCAAATTCAGAAAGTGTAGAGAAATTTAAGAATTTATTTTGCTAAATGTTTAACAGGAAAATGTTAATTTTTGTGTTTAGAAGAAAATGGTCAATATGATAATAACAATTTTTTGATGTTATCTTTTTTATTAGAGAAAATTATTCTTATATTATTAATTAATATTTAATTGGAAATTAAATATTTTAATTTATTTAAAATTTATAATTTATTTTTAATAATGTGCTTGAAACAATTGGAGAAAATTAAAATAACAATGTAACAATGAACATGTTTTGTTGAAATAAAA